GCTGTGCGCCGCGGGCCACCGCGCCGAGCTGCTCCGTTTCCCGGGTGGGTGTGGCGCCGGCGGGGCCGGGGCCGGCTGAGGACGCGCGGGGTGCGCACGCTAGCCGGGTCGGGGCGCCCCTCTTTCCGGTGGGGCTGCGTCACGAGGTGCGGACTGGGTCTGTGCCCCCGCTACCCCCCAGCGGGCTCCCGGTGCGGTCGTGGCGTCCGTGCGGGTTTCGTATCAGCGCTTAGGCTACCCAGAGTCACCTTCAGGCTTGCAGAACGGGTAGGGAACTGCGGGGAGGAGGTTTCTGGGTGTTCGGCCTCGTCTTGAAGCCGGCCGGTCCACCAAGCCCACCGGCGCTGCGTTTGAGGTGCTGAGTTGTACCTCCCTTCCCTCTTCTTGAAGCGTTTCTCATCCCTGTGTGTCTGCGCCTTGCTGCCCGTTCTCAGGGAAGGCCCGAACCGTGTGGAGACATCCCGAAATAAAACTCAAAAGACTTGAGTTCAGCCCGAACTATATTCTAATTGAGGTGGAAAGCCTGCCCTTACTTTTGTATTTCTCTCTCTCTCTTTTTTTTTAGAAAGATCAACCGAAATTGGCAAACTTCTGAGTTCTTACTTGGAAAAGAAAAGTGAGGTGGAGGACCACTCGGTGCACCTACTTTTCTCCGCGAACCGCTGGGAGCAAGTGTAAACACTACGTTTGTGCTCCACCCCCCCCCCCCCCCCCGTGCTTTGCCTCTTGCTTGAGATTGGGCGAATGCAGCTCTTGATTCGGAATGGCGTTGGCAGTAATGCCAGAGGCTGGACCTTTGCAAGCACCCGTCGTGTCCCCCTTAACCCCAGGTCTTAGAGCTCTGGTTCCCGAAGAGCAGGAATTGATGCTTTTTCTTCCTCCTGCCCTGACACCTTTTTGTAATTAGTAGACTTTATTTTGTAAGGTCGTTTTACATATATGGAAAAGCTGGTGATAAGTACAGAGTTTCCCCCCTACCCCGTCCCTCCCTCCCGCCCCCAATTTCTCATATTATTTGTCTTAGATTAGTGTGTTACATTTGTGACAGTGGATGAACTGATGCTGACACATTCTTTTTTTAAGATTTTACTTATTCGGGAAAAAGAGAGGGTGGGGGGGTGGGGGGCGGGGAGCAGAGGGAGAGGGACAAGCGGACTCTGCTGAGCACGAGCCAGATGCAGCACTCAATCCCAGGACCATGAGATTATGAACTGAGCCCCCAGGTGCCCCATGTTGACACATTATTAACGGAAGGTCACAATTTACTTTTTCCCCGCCCCTTTTGTTTTACATATTCTACCTCCTCACTCAACATTTTTTTTGACAGAGAGAGACACAGCGAGAGAGGGAACACAAGCAGGGGGAGGGGGAGAGGGAGAAGCAGGCTTCCTGCTGAGCAGGGAGCCCGAT